GGACCCTCCACAGGTAATCATATCCAAATGGATGGTGACTTGACAACAGTGCCGTGGGATTTCCCTCTCTTCAATCTCCTCCTCCTCCTCCTCCTCCCGCCTACCTTGGGACGACAACAGTAGGAAATATTAACAGCCACCCAATTCGTACACTCCCACCACCACCACCACCACCTCACCTTTCCCACCGTCATCACCTCCGTCTTCGCATCGCTCCCACGCTTCTAAGACCCACCCCAACTTTGTCAGACTTATCATTCATGGCAAGAGCAAACAAATGCTAGATTAATGGAGCTGACTCCCTGCACAAATATCCCATCCACATGGAGTGAACTCTAAAGCTTCTACCCTGTTGTATCTATGGATTCGGAACGATTTACAGACCGAGAAAAAGAACATCAAGATCTATCTATGAGCTTAAAGACTGAATCTACTGCAGGTTGTACTGAGGTCATTTAAACGTGCAGATAACGACACCGACACCATTGATTCTTACGTGTAATATGTGGAGGTTTTGCGCGAGAATAATGTCGATCGTCTGCAGCCGTAAATGCCATGTACCTGATGAGAGAAAACGGCTGTTTTTATGACGCCGTACCCCGTGAAGCAGCGCACTCCACATCATACCGTGCAGAGAGAGAGAGAGAGAGAGCAAGTCATTAGGTGGAGATGGCTGGGGTTATTAGGGAGCAGAAGCGGAGAGAGAGAGAGAGAGAGAGAGAGAGAGAGAGAGAGAGAGAGAGAGAGAGGGGTTGGTGGTGGTAGAGAAAGGGAAAGGTCAGGAGGCACAAAAATAGGGTAGTAGGGGGTACGTACACTGTTGCATGCAGGGGTTGGACATTCGTCCTCCTTTCCATGCACATGAGAGCAAATTGCAGTGGCTCGCAACTCCCCATTAATGTTAATGAAAGTAACCAGTTTTATGATTCACATCTGAACGTGATCTCAAACTCGTGGAAAAAGACAACAGCATGCAGCTTTTACTGCACTCGCCATTTGTTTACATCTCTCTCCCTCTCTCCCCCTCAGTTTCACCCTATTGTACAACGGACTAGTTGCTGTTCCACCATTTCTCACCCTGACAAAGGACACCGATCATAACAAAACTTGATTACCACCAGATCGCTCGCATAGATGTGCAATATGTGACATCCATTTGCAGCTTGACAGCAGACCAACACCCAAAACATGTCTCACCACACATACGAAGGATTGGAGACAAATACCCTAATCAGCTTTTGCAGGATATTCGAATACGACTTTTATGGCAACCTATATATATATTTCACCACTATGCATCAGATCGAAACCATTTCTTTTTCCCTGTTTGAATCACCGCTAGAGAGTTAGCCTGACGCCGAACATCCACCGGTTGTGCGCTTTCATAGCCTCGACCACTCGTGCATGTATATAGATAGCATGAATATGTATAAGAAAAATAGATTAGGACTCACGCCACAACGACAACGTGTTTCTTTCTTTTTTCTGCCGATCCTTAATGTTTGGCTACTGTTATAACTAATCATGCTTCAGACCATAGGAGGAAGAGGAGGAGGAAGAGGAGGGGAGAGAGAGAGAGAGAGAGAGAGACAGAGAGAGAGAGGACGACAGCAGCTTGACAAAGGGCGGAGATGCCCGAGAGAGGTACAGGGGACAGGTGCTTGACAAACATCCGGCACTGAGAGACAAAAAGAGGACGGAGAAGAAAGATTTCAAATCATGTGAGATGGGCATGGAAAAGCTTCCCCCTCTTTCGCTCTCCCCAGCTACAGGCGCAGCATCCCTCCAGTCTCAACTGTCAGTGATGGAGCAGTAGCTATTCTTAGAAATCTATTACATCTTGTCACCCACCCCCGCTTCCTTTCTTGTCTTACTCCACAGGATAAAAGAGAAATTTTGGTGAGTGGGCGCACCGCACAGCAAGGAGAAGAGCCCACAGCTCTCTCGTACTTGTCCTTTTCCATCTCCTCCTTCCTCCTACCCAAGGAAACCATGGACTGATGTTTCTGATGCTTCCCCGATCAGGATTAGTCGATGACCATGATTCATGCAATCATCTCCAGATCAGGTCAACTAACCAGTACCGTAAGATGATGGGATTGCCACAACCATTTAAGGTTACATACTGCTCGGACCGGGGAGAATGCAACTCGGAAGAATTACATGAATCCCACAAAAGTAATGCTAATCTAATATCTATATATTATCTTCGGTTGGGTTTGCGAAAGAAAAAGAGAGTTGTCCAAATCGAACTTACTTGTAGTTTAGGATAAAGCAACATGAGAGATTGTTATGAAGGAGAATGCAACTGTCGATGCAGACTTGTATCTGAAGCAACGTGACATCGATGGTCAGGACCTCTCATGTATATGTTCGATGGAAATGCTGTTGTTATTACGAAGATGTTGCCGAGTAAAGCATCGGTTGTGCATGCAATAAACTGTCGGCGAGATCCGAGTTTCCGATAAAACATTAATAGGAGCAAATTAGGGATGAATTTGCAGCAGTGCAACAAGTTGTCCATGATGAGGATTTAGATTGTAGTGGTGGCTCCAATGATGCGTAAGTCCAAGTGCTACCACATGACACCCTTTTAAAGCACGAGTTCAAAGGGGACATCTTCCAAAGAAGGCAAGGTTAGACATATTGTGTTGGCTCGCGACGGTACATGCCCCAAACTTCATTGTATAGGCGGCACTGGCTATTGAAATCGCCACGGATGATGAAGAAGCTTAAGTTGTGCTAATGAATGTGATCAGGTAATTGGTATAAAAGAAGACAATGTTTTTGCAAGCAATATAGTATCGGAAACTCCTAATTGGCATCTATTTTTCCTTCAAACACAAGATGTGCATGACAGTAATGTAAACCCTACATATTTGATTTTGCCTCGGTACTTTATAGGCACACTGAGACGCATGCAAATGCATATATACAGTGTGCATGCATCAGATAGCCAGAATCTCTGCACTCCATCAAACCATTCCATTAATTAATCCGAGCTGTGAAAAGGGTGTGTCTGCACAGGGTCAGATCATTCCACCATTTTTGCTGTGTCCAACTTATCTGTAGAATTCCATGTCGAAATATACATATATACTCTCGCAGCGGAGAGAATCTCAAGTGCTCCTCCTCATGCCGGTGAGTATGGCAGGTGAGAAATCATTATACCCAACAGGTTTCGAACCTAACACTAGAGGAAGTTTCCATGATTGGATTCTCGGAAGGATCACATTCTCGAGCAGTCCCGAACCAGAATCTCGTCGAGTCAAAAGATTTGTAGGAGAACCAAGACATCTAAGAATGAATGTTCAGGATAATTAACAAGTCATCAAAGTTCAAAAGGTCAGATTTATTGTCTAAATTCTTGTCAAACAAACGAGGTTGCTATGGTCGAACAGCAGAATCTAAGATTCTTGGAGAATCCGGAAATCAGATATTAGGCTTAGAGTTTTGCCAGCAGTGAGCAAACATGGTTTCATTTTCATGACCACGAACTTTGATATATATATATATATATATATATATATATATATATATATATATA